CAACGGCATCTGCTTTGTTGTAAAGAGGCCACATTCCCAACTAAGAGTGAAAGAGATGGGCAGGAAACAGAGAACAGTAAGGGTTTTAAAATAGCTGCTGACAGGAATGGGAGAATTAAGCAAAGGCTTCCTGTGGCCTATCATGTCCAAGAGCCTGGTGGAATACAAGAAAGGGGAAAACTTAGCTCTATTGACATGGTGAAAAAAGCCCAGGCAGTTCAGGCTCTTTGTGACATAAGCCCTTAGCATTATATTTAGCGTGGGACTTTCCTGATGAGTAAGATGCATCAGCAGCCTGGAGAAAGCAATCATCTTAGGAGTTGAACATCAGTTGAACACCCTCACACAGCAAATGAGGACACTACGTGACAAAGGAATTTAGGGGGCCAGGCCAGGACACAATTTTGGATGTCTCACTTCCAAGCTGGGCCTTTCTTCCACTGCATTCCTCCAGGAGTACCTAACCAGGGCCCCAGGCATAACAGACCAACGTGTTTTTGCAGAAAACACCTGGCATTAGGAATTATGCCCTGTTTTTGTTTTTGTTTTTTTCCCAAAAGATTTATTTATTTATGCATACAAGAGCTGGGGCACAGGCCAGATCATGTGGGGGGTGAGAGGATTCAGAGACATAGTGGGGAACAGAACAGGCAGACTGACTGAAATACACTGGTGAGGGGAGCAGCAGGCAAGTCAGGAGAGGTCTGCCTCACCATGTGGGTTGCTCCCTGGCGGGCCAGGGATTGAACTCATGCTACAGAGGCTGCAGATTGCTTCATAGTGTGGTGTTTAACCCCTTGCGCCACGAGGGAGGCCCCCTGTTTGTTTTTTTTTTACTTTTTTTCCGCATTGTACAAACACCAACAAACCCTTATCTGCAAAACACTCCTGATAAAAGCCTCTATTAAAAAGAATCCTAAACAAAATGAGTAAGAACCCCATTTTTGCTTCCTCTATTGATATTTTAGTATGAGCAGCAGTTTAAGAGCTTGTACTAGTCTGTATCTTTAAAAAAATAAATCCAATACTACATGCACGTCTTTCCAGTTACAGATCTAGTTGTTCCTGTTAATATGTGCATCATAAATATGGTGAGTTGTGAGATTTCTTCAAAGGCATATTTGTGGAAATGTAATGTTTTTAAAGACAACCATAAAAACGAGAGCTGCCTTTCTCTCACACAAGACCATGCGAACCTCTGAATTGTTCCAATTTGAGTAAAAATGCTGCCAAGCTAGCGCCAGCTGTCATGCGGGTAGTGGGGTTTCGCCTATGTTGGGCACTAAGTGCAGATAAGGACATTCTTCAGTTCTGCTATCTACTTAATGAGAACAGCCCTACTATTCCGCTCCAATACTTCCACTATGAATTTACGTTAGGGAGATGAATAATCCCTTTAGCCTCTGAGGGCCACTTCAGGATAAAAGGAGATACTAAGCAAAGTTATGGCAACAGACAACTGTGTGTCCCCGGAATGGTGGTGGACATGCAGGAGAGGAGACTGAGAGGTGGCAGAGTTCAAGCTTTGGTTATGAAGAGGCCCACAGGGTAAAAGTGATATGTTAAGTGGAGCCACGATAAAATCACCCAGTTCAATGCTCCAGCTCCAGTGGTTTAATCCAGCTGGCTTTGTAGAACATTGCAACACTGTCAAAAGCAGTGGGTATAGCTGTGGGAACCTCAGGTGGCAACAGTAAGCCTCTAACCTGCATCTGCATCTGACTACAGCACCCTGGGAGCCAACAGGCACTTGCCTCAACACACCAAGATTTATTCTGTTCAAAAATGTGCTATCATTCAACAAACGAGAACATTACTCAACAAGGTGAAAAGTTCTGATTCTCCTCTACGAGACATTCAAACACAATCAAGGTGATTCACCTACGTGTCACAACTTGGTTAGCTGGGAGGCACAGGCCCAACAGTATCACTTAGAAGATGTTGTCCAACAGCAACACAATGCCAGCCACATACATACTGTTAAAGTTTCTAGTGGCTGTTTTAAAAGGTAAAATGAGCTTTCACCTCTCATCTGACCTGCCTATCCAAACTGCTACTTTAATATGGAATCAATACGAAATCTGAGATCTTCCAAATAACAGTTCCTCAGGGATCAAGGAACAGATCTTTAGACAGATTTCCTTTTACAGTTACCAAGTAATGTTAAGAATGGGTCCCTGTGGTCAATACCCCATGGCCACACTGTGTGGAGAGGCAACATATGCTAGGGCCCACGAAAGGCACTTGCTGGAGACTTTGAACTTCCAAGGCAAGACTAAGGAAGCACATTATTAAAAAACAAAAACAAAAAAACAACAAACCACCAAGATACTAGATCTCAGAATTACACATCTAAAATGCCAAGGGGCCTCCCTGGTGGCACAAGGGGTTAAGACGCAACCTATGAAGCTACCCCCAGCCACTGCAGCACAAGTTCCATCCCTGGCCAGCCAGGGAGCTACCCACATGGCACAGCAGACCTCCCCTGTCTCGCCCGCTACTCCCCTCAGCAGTGTTATTTCAGTGGATCTGCCTGATCTGCCTGTTCTGCTCCCCACTCTGCCTCTGCTGAATCCTCTTATCCCCCACACCTCTGGCCTGCACCCCAGTTGTTGGATGCATAAACAATCTTAAAAAAAAAAAAAAAAAAAAAACGAAACAAGTATCAACACCTGTCCACTGTCTTTTGGTTCTATCTTTTTGTCCCAAATGTTTTCTAGCAATAGTCAGTCAGTGAATGTTTTCTCATGAAAACATTTTTGTGACTGTTAAACATTCTCATGAATGTCTTCATGAGAAAGAGGATGTGGGAAATGCAATGGTTTAGTGTAGCAGTGTAGTGATATACCAATTAAGTCACCAACTAATCTCAGGCTTAGTGCCCAAGTCAGACTTTTCTTTCAGTGTCACCTATAATACTTTATAAATCCAGATCATCCTGAATATATAGTTTTGGTACTCTGCTTTATTAAACCACCATATTACAAATGTTTTCTTAAGCCATTACCTTAACACAGACTTTGAGAGACAGAGCTTTTGATCAAGATTTCTCTAAACACAGGGCCTCCCCGGTGGCATAGCGATTGAGCGCTGGGTTGCGAAGCTGCCCACAGACTCTGCAGTGCCAGTTCGATCCCCTGCCGCAGGGTGAGGGCCCCACATGGCGCGCAGACCTCTCCTGCCACCTGCTGCTCCCCTCAGCAGTGTATTTGGTCAGTCTGCCTGTTCTGCTCCCCGCTCGGGCTCTGGTGAGTTCTCTCACCCTCCCGCGCTTCTGACTGTGCCCAGTGCTTGTATAAATAAATAAATAAATCTTAAAAAAAAAAATATTTCTCTAAACACAAACAGCAGTCTCCCTCTCTCTCCGAACGATCACATCATTCAATGCCTCAAATATCAGACTGAGCAACTCCGGCCAGGCAGAGCAGTAGGTATAAGGGTAAAAGTGGCAAACAGGACAAATGGCTCATGAGACTTACATACCAGAGGGGAAGAGGGCTAATATACAGATGGTGTCAAATGTTTACAAGAGGAAAGTAAAAATGACAGAAGAGGGGCATGTCATGAGTTCAGTCTACCCCCACTATTAGATTGAACCACATATAATTGCTGATATTCAACCATATCTGACTTACAGGATGGGCCATTTCATATGGTTCAATCTAATGCCTTCATCTCATTAGAAAATAATCAATAAGGCTTCTGATGGACTAAAAACTGTAATGAATCCTTGAATGGCAGAAGACATAAGAACTGGACTGAATAAACCTTCTTCACAGACCAGAAGAGGTAAGAGGTGTGTTGTCAGTTCAGAGACAGAAGAGTGCAGAAGAGCAGGCTGGTCTGAGGCTTTGGCAGGAGCCCATGTGGCTCACCCTCTGTGCACTGCTCCCCACTGCTCAGGCCCACCAGGTGCGGTCACCATCCCCTTCCAGAGCATCCTGGGAGGTGATCGCTCCACCAGGAATGGGGTTGTGGAATGGGATGCCTAGTGATTGCTCTGGCTATCAGCAAGTGTAGAAAAAGCCCAGGAGTCTGGCAGCCCATTATTATGTAATTAAATTACAACCCCCACTACCACCCCTCCCCCAATCCCCCAACTACTGAACCAACAGATCAAGCCTAACTTGGTGAAAAGACAAGGTGCCTCCTGATAATGAGGTTGAGGATTCTTATCTAGAATTTGAACCTGGTTTTGAACAAGCTTCCAGAGTGAACTGCTGGGTTACAGCAAATACAGGGGACAGGGGAAAACACTAAATGACACTTAAGGATGAATCAGTAAAATTTAGAATGTGGGGAGACTTTTCAGGGTGAAAAGAAAAAGGGGTTGGACCCTTCAAATGAAAAGGCATTTATTGAGAAGCTCACCAGTGTTATGGGCAGAATTCCCCTTGGACACTTACTAGAACAAAGTTACTGAGCTGGTGAGGGACAGGCAAGCGCTGCCTGGCCACTTACAACTAAGGAAATATTAGCAGTCAGTTTGTTTTTTAAAAAGTCCCTGTAGTGAGCAGTGAATGGAAGAAAGTTGAAACTGAGAATTAAAACTGAACTGGGGAGGGCCTCCCTGGTGGCGCAAGGGGTTAACCTGCAGCACCATGAAGTTATCCGCAGCCACTGCAGCTCGGCATGAGTTTGATCCCCAGCCAGCCAGGGAGCTACCCACATGGCGCAGCAGACCTCTTCCGAGTCTCACGCTGTTCCCCTCAGCAATGTATTTCAGTCAATCCGCCTGTTCTGCTCCCCATTCTGTCTCTGGTGAATCCTTTCACCCCCTCCTCGTACCTCTGGCCTGTACCCCTGTACTTGTATGCATAAATAAATAAATCTTTTAAAAAACAAAAAGGTTGAACTGGGGAATTCAGGATTATCCTTTCATCTGGCATATGCTTAAATCAAACTTGGAGGCTGCCCTTCCCACTCCCCCAGTTCCTACACATCCCATGGGAACTGGGAGCGATCTCATGAGAGCCCAGGTAGTTTAGATGAGGGCTCACCTGTCGATGAACTGGTCGATGATGACGATGTCTCCAGGCTGAATCTCTTCCCTCAAGGAGCCACAGGCTGTGGTCACGATGACGTGCGTGCAGCCCTCCTCCTTCAGAGCCCAGATGTTGGCCTGGTAGTTGACTTTTGAGGGCATGATGGTATGCTGCCTCCCGTGCCTAGGGAAAGCACAGCCAATAGTGTAGGTGAGGTAACAGGCACCATTATATGGCTAGAAAATGAATTTAGAACTGAGCTCCTAGCCCTTGTACCAAAGTACCTTCACTAGCTGAGGATGAATGAGAACAGGTCAGGTAATAACATTCTGAAGGGAAGGTCAGCTTTACATTCTGTGTTTTCCTACCCAGAATAGGTAGTAACTTGCACGGAATTTGTCCTCCAGGAAGCTGCATGTGTCTATCCTGTGAGGCACCAACACTCAGATTCAGAGACACCAGGCCCCAGATCTCACAGGAGCCGTGACACAGAGAACAAGAGGTGCCAATGAAGACACGAAGCAGAAATAGAAGCTCAGGTTTCCAGTAAATGTCTCTATTCCCATCTGCCCGATCACCCCTCCCCCCACCAAAGGTAACAAAACTCTGAAAATATTATAATTTCCAGGCTTTTTGACATTAGCAGGTTTTGCTCAGTCACTGATCATCTCAGGCAAGACCAGTGTTATGGGCTGAACTGGGTCTTCCCCGCAAATTTACACTTACTCTCAACCTCTGGAACCTCAAACTGTGACTGTACTTGGAGAGTACAGTCTTGCAGTCTTTCACTAACAGTGATCATCAAGGTGGGCCCTAATCCAATATGGCAGATGTCCCTATGAGAGGAAGAAATTAAGACAGACATGCACACAGGGAAGACCAAGCAAAGCGGGGAGACCATGACCATCGACAAGTCTGGAATAACTCCTTCCTTCTCCCTTCAGAAGGAAGCAACCTGCTAACACCTCAATCTTGGCATTCAAAACTCAAAAGCAATGCATTAGAGGGTCAAGCATTTCAGTCTGATGGTTCACTTCAGCTGGTAGGAGTATAAAGCCCTCACCACTTCCAATTTTCTTTTTTTTTTAATTTATGCATACAAGAACTAGGGTACAGGCCAGAGGTGCACGGAATGGGGAGAAGTGTATGTGTGAGAGGATTCTCCAGAGACAGAGTGGGGAGCAAAACAGGTAGATCTACTGAAACACACTGCTGAGGGGAGCAGTGGGTGAGACAGGAGAGGTCTGCTGGGCCATGTGGGTAGCTCCCTGGCCGGGGATCGAACTCATGCTGCAGTGGCTGTGGACAGCTACATAGGCTGCGTCTTAACCCCCTGTGCCACCAGGAAGGCCCCACTTCCAGTTTTCTTAAAGCCTGGGAACAATTAAGTGATCATCACAGACCCATGAAAGTTGCCTGAATTCTACCTCATATAATCAGCTAAAATAAAAATCTGGTTTTGATGGATTCAGCAAAGCTCTTCCATATCAAATCATGCAGTGTGGCAGGCTGGCACTGTGTGTGTGTGTGTGTGTGTGTATATGGAGGAGGGGCTCCGCTTTCATGCGGTATCATTCTCTCCTACAGGGCGAGTAGACACTAGACTTTTGCTTCAAACCCACAGGATTAGCAAAGGTGTAGGGAGCTGCCCCAGTGATTAGGCTCTGCCAGCCTGCCCTACAGACAGCTGGGCACTGGCCCTGAAGAGCCGTGTCACCGAACTACATGTGTCCAGGGCCACTTGGCAGGGATATTTGTGGAGAGCCCCTAGGAGCTAAAGACCTCAGTTTCATAACCAAGAAGAAGTGAATTTTGCCAAGAACCACCATTTGCTTGGACAGGGACCTGGAGCTCCCGGGGAAAACAAGGCCTTGAATGTACCTCGCCCGACACCAAGCAGAACACTCAGCAGAGCTGCACACACACTCCTAATGTGTGAAGTTGTGAGAGAATGTGTGTGGTTCTGAGCTGCTGAATTTGTGGTCTGATAGTTCCCCTTCATGCTCAGGGAATCTTGTTCCAAGGCCCTGAGTGGATGCCTCAAACTTGGAATCGTGCTAAGCCGTTTTTTCTGTACAAAGAAACCTATGATAAAGTCTGACTTATAAATTAAGCACAATAAGAGATTAACAATTAACAAAAAATAAAATAGAAGCAATGATAACGATATGCTGTAATAAAAGCTATGTGAAGGTAGGCCCCCCTCAAGTTATCTGATTACAGGTAATTATTTTCAGACTGCAGTTGACAAAGGGTAACTGAAATGGCAGAAACGGAAACTGTGAATAAGGGGACAAATGTCATTTGTTCTTCAGCAAAAGAAAATGAATATATTTCATTTTCTAACAGTCAAGGACTAAAGAGCGTGGACACCACAGGGAAGGCCCACTTCAGGGACCCCAATATCCAACACTTCATAAACCTAGAGCTATTACTTCACAAGAGGTCATGAATAAAGCATTATTTTTCTTCATATTTCTAATGAGAAAAAAGAAAAAAATATTCCCTTTTGCAGTGAGAAATGAAGCCAGAGCACAAATCTTAGTAAAGCTCACACAGTGAATTGGTTGAACCACGCTCTCAACCTCAGAGGGGAGTGGGTAGATCATCGATCTCCAAAATCAATATAATTTACCCCAAACACTAGTGGTCAACAGAGGTGACTAAGAGGTTCTGGTTCTACCAACACAAAAAAAAACTCACACTGGCAACAATTCTTTCTCCAGAACTTAATTCTCCTTTGGAGGTAACATTCAAAAAACTCAAGATGCCTTACCTTGCAAGGAGGACACAATCAACATTCTTTATCTTCCCCAAAATTAAGGCATCAGAAGGCTGCAAATAATGAAAAATAGCCACACATCAGTGAATTAAAAAATATATATACTAACAACAAAAAGCTGTCATTTCAATTGTTCAGCCACCATAGGATTCCTGGAGCTTGGAGTTGAAAGATATACTTTAAAAAAGCAAGAATCTAGATTTGCTGGACCAATGTAATCACACTTGACAACTATTTACTGAGTCCACGGTAAGCCTAGATAGAGTTCACTGACAACTGCTGATGCCTTGAGGTGTAGGTATGTACCATTTAGTACCATGTATTTGTAAAAAGTGCCCCAGGGGACTCTGATGGGAGGTTGGTCAAACAGATGTGTGGAGAACAGGTGTGAAAGTAAAATGCAGAAATCAGATCAGGCCACCGGTCACAAGCAAGGACTCAGCACTGTGTTCACAAGGCTCTGACGGCCAAAGCTGCAGAAGACCTGAGGGCACATTAAGTCCATCGGAGAAGCTGGCTGGGACTGCCAGATGCAGGTACCTTCATAGGAAGCTGAGAGGAAATGCAGTAAATCCCAGTAGCACTAAGGGATTAGGAAGCAGGTGCCTACCCTGGCCCAGGCTGGATACACAGGGACGGGCACAAACAGTCTCCTACTAGAAAAGCACATTCTATTTGCAGTTCAGTGTGCGATGGTGTTCTGGGTTCCCATGACATCTCCCTTAGGGCCAGGACTCACTAAAAAGGTCACACTTCCTCCCCCTAGTCATCAGTCTACCTCCTAAATTAGTGTGGTGTGACATAATGACCCCAAATAAGAAGTAAGAAGTTTATTCGAATGCAGAGATCTGAAAAGTCATTTGGCGTGTCTGAAATGAATATCTGGCCTCTAGGGGTAAAAACTGAGAAGGTACGTTTGCAAATTCAGAAGCCATATTCTCAATATGGCCGAGTCCCAGGCATCCTTGGTTCCATCATGGGTGGCAGCGACAGGGCTCTGGCTCCCCTCAGATGTGGGCAGGCAGCTTGACTCCCAGGACAAAAGCAATTATAATAAATTTTTTATCTTAAAAATCAGGCTAGCACAGGGTCAGAGGAAAAAGCTAGTATGTCTCCACTAACTGATATGAACCTTGCCAAATGGTGTATCCACATATTTTTCAGTTCTTCCTTCTAAGATTTCTGGATCATCCAGGCCTGTTCCACCAATGATTCCAATCTAAAGGAAACAATAAAGAGATACCATATTTGTCATTTTTCATTCACGACAAAAATCATTATTTTAAGCAAATTCATTTATTCACTCCATTCCTGTTAAGTATTAAAATTTTTTTTTTAAAGATAAGCTGAATATCACTGAAAAAGTCATTCAATGAGCATTTGAACACCTCCTGCATCCCAGGAATAATTAAAGCACTGGGTACTGTTTTGACTGTATCGCATATACTGTGGACTATTTGGAAAACAAATTAGCATAGGCAGGTGCCTTCACTAGCTTAAAGCTAGAAAATCAATCCTAAAAATAGACAAATATGATTGTAGACAGTACTTCCCGACCATTTTCATTTTCCCTACTAAATTTAGGGCTATGGAACAGAGAATGTCCAAGGGACTGTAAGGATAAGGGACTATCCAGGATACCTATTTGGTAATGATTTTTCCTTATTACCACATTTGATAAACAAGCAAGATTTTCTTTTCTTTGCCATTAAAATCATAGAGATGTAAGGATTACAGATAGAGGAATGAAAAATCAGCCTCATGTTTATTTATGAAATCATACCATTGTTCATATACATATAACTTACACACATATATATGTGTGTAAATATGAATCATCCAAAGATAGGTAAAGTTTGTGTGTTTATTGCATTTTCCAGAGACTATAGAACAGCACTTCTCTTCACAAACTTCTGAAGTTAACCTGTACTACACTAGTCTGTGTAGTTAACCTAATTTGGTGACAGAAACACACTAAAACAATTACAAAGATAACTAAATATTAACTGTTAATTAAAAACCAAATAAGCTAACAGATGACACTTTACTAGAATCCTAATGGGAGTGACAAGAGCATTTCTTTGTAATAAAAATTAAAATCTATTGCCACTACATTGCTACTACCAGAAAATAGCCCCTTGAGAAAAAATTCCAGAGTTAAGAATTAACTGATTTATCTCATTTATTATTAAATAATTTTCAGATCTGACCGCAGAAGCTGATTTATATTAATGTGCGGAAAAATTGTCACCTTTGTGACCCTGAGATTCCTGGGAAAAAAATCTTTAAAAACAAGAAAATAAGATAATTTAGTGAGCTTTTATTTAAAAATTACCAGTTCATGGTTTCCCTACAACTTCCACAAGTGACTAAAATATGCTTTGAAGTTGGCGCCACCTAGTGGTACACTATTGAAACCACAACTGGTTACTATGCTCTACCATCCCAAATTTCTCTACTAGTTACAATTTAACAACGTAAAAACTAACCATTATTAATTTTCAAATCAACAGAAGTGTTAACTTAAGTCAGTACATTTAAATCATGCCAGTCCAATAGGATTTTTTGCTTTTAAATCGTTTCATGCAAACCTAAACCTTCCTCTAGCTGGCCTTTCCTACTCTATCCTTCTGAAGCACCAATGATCATGGGGGGGTTTATTTTCTGTCCAACCCATCATCCCAGACCACAGATGTGACTAGCTGATTCTGATTACTATTTGTCTACTCTTCAGGGATTCAGCTACTCATGAAAGCTTTGGCTTTTTAAAACAACCAAAGTAAAAAGTAAACAAACAAACAACAACAAAAACCCAAATAACACAATACCACTTTGACTTGGAAGTTTCTGGATGTTCCCTGGGCCATGGGATCTCATACTCTAGATTCAACAGTGGACTCTAAGACTCGGATATATAAATCAATCTGTCTTCAGAGTGCCCTCTTAGCCATAGGTAAGCTAGTCCAGCATTGCAGGGATGATTAAGAAATGCTAAATAGTAGGTTGAAGTCCAGTGTCTTCAGATGTATCCTCAGCAGCAAAGCTTCTGTTCTCACCATCTTGGCTATATGATGATCCTACATTAAGTCACTGCCAACTCAGCGCTCATCAGGGGACATTCAGTACTGAGCATGGAAGTCAGAGTTGCTCACCGGAGAGTCAACGTGGGGCCTCTGGCACTGGAATTATCTGCAGGTGAATCTGGCCAGTCACCCACATGTTCTAGTCATTAACAGAAACCTTATCTTGCAATGGATACAGAACAATGTAGTAACTGAGTATTGCTATGCCAGGGAACCAACCATTTTTCTGGCAGACAAAGGCCAGTGGAGTCAAGATGTGGCCAATGTCGCCACCTGCTGGTACCACAGCAAAGTACAACTAGGATGAAATGCCCAAGTACAGATTGTCTGCTCCTGTCTTCCTCCTGGAAGTAATTCAAGTAAACTTAGCTGCTTTTGTAAATAAAGTAACTGTCTGAGCCCCTGCATGTCACAGGCATGTTGCTAAGTGCTTCAGCAGCCTGATCTCGTTTGATCTCCATAACCCCTCTATAAGGTAGGTAGACCTTTCAGTACACCCATTTTACAACAGTAAAGAGAAACAAAATGAAAAAACTTGTCCAGGAGCAAATCCTAAGTAGTGAAGCTTAGGTAGGAACCCAGGTCTTTTAAATTCAACCACTATGATGTACGACTTCCTGCATCTCATAATATCACAAGGTATCAGGAAAAATGTTAGTCTCCATGTCATCATGATACTGATGTGGAGAGAGAATTCAAGTTCTTGACCAAGGTCACACACTTCAAGATCAAACTTCAACTTAGAAACAGTGACACTGGACATGTGAGTGAACCACCTGGCAGGGGAGAGGGGCCCTCACTGAAGACCTCATCTACATACAGGAAGCCTCCACCCTCTGCCCTCGGCACAGGCATCCTAGACTGCCTGGGAAATGCACTTGGAGACAGAAATGGAATTCTGTCTGCCTTACTCAAGATAAAGTTCTGGAAATAAGCACCCTCTGGTCAAGTAAGATCACTGCCAGATTTTAAGAGCTAGTGTTCATCCTATACTTCCCCACTGTCACTTCTTCAAGGTAAGGTTTGCTAAGACTTTATAAGCATTTAATATAAATGGTGGCTTATTGGGCCAGAACAGTGACTTCTAGCAAGGCTAAAAGGGCTCCTATAACCCCCATCCACTCTGTGTCTATTTCCCCATGCACTCAGTTTCAAGAAGAGCACTTTAGGGTCTGGCCACACTGCATTAAGGAACCTATAGCATTTCAATAGAGTAGTCTTAAAACCCCATAACCCCAGGCCATTGAAACTAGCTTCAATCAGGAAGATAGGCTGCCTGAGGGAAAGAGCATTTCCATCCTTCAGCCCTGGTTCCACCAGCAGGTCTGGCAAACACAGCAGGTTAAAAAGCCTCTTTATCAGGCCGATGTGACTTTCAGGCTTCCTGGATCTTGTAACATCTGGAAGCCCAGTTGTATTTGGGTGGCCAAGCACCTCAGTTGGATGCCTGTTCAAAATGTGCAAAATGATACTGAGGCCATCTCTCCATCCACCCCCCTTCTATAAACCATCCTTGTAGGTCAGGTTATGGATGGGGGGAGATCAGAGATGTGCTATATGTCCCACAGAAGGAATCATCCTGCTCCACATGCCTCTGTGTCCCTAGGGAAAAAAGTAGCCTTGTTGGTGATTTGGTTTCCAACTGGGGTCTGTGGGTTGTCCCCCAGTTTTCTGAGTCCCCCAGTTCGTGGACTCTGACAGCCGTGTGCTCAGTCAGAGATTTCAACAGGAGAGAATGTCAGGAAGATGCACTGCCAACTGATAAAGCTTCTCTAAAAATTTATCAACATAGCCAGGACTCTGCTGTGAGACTATTACATAGATGGCTGTGATCTTTATTATACAGAATTCACATTAAGGATTTTAGTTGCTGAATTAACACTTATTACCACTTTGTTAAATATGCTATCCGCTATGCACGGACAACGAAGTCTTTTGATAATTAAAGAAAGAAAATGCCAAGGGAAACAGTGTGATCAGCAGTGCAGTTTTCAGAGAATACAACACTAACATGTCTTCATTTTTAACTGCATGATTTTTTTTTAAAGATTTATTTTTATTTATTTATACAAGCACTGGGTACAGTCAGAAGCGCGGGAGGGTGAGAGAATTCACCAGAGCCAGAGCGGGGAGCAGAGCAGGCAGAAGGACCGAAGTACACTGCTGAGGGGAGCAGCGGGCGGCAGGAGAGGCAGACGGGACCCTCCTCCGGTGGTCGGGGAGCAGCCGGGGATCGAACTGGCACTGCAGAGGCTGGGGGCAGCTTCGCAACCCAGCGCTCAACCGCTGCGCCACCGGGGAGGCCCTAACTGCATGATTTTTAAAATTGCAGTAACACTGGTTCAAAACACCGTACATTAGGGCCTCCCCTGGTGGCGCAGCGGTTGAGCGCTGGGTTGCAAGGCTGCCCGCAGTCTCTGTAGTGCCGGTTTGATCCCCGGCCACCGGCAAGGGTCCCACAAAAAAAAAAAAAAAAAAAAGAACACCTGCACCCCTATGTTTATAGCAGCACTATTTACAATAGCTAAGCTTTGGAAACAACCCAAATGCCCAAAAATAGATGACTGGATCAAGAAGATGTGGTACATATACACCATGGAATATTACTCAGCATTCAAAAAAGATAAACACATGCAATTTGCAGCAACATGGATGGCGCTGGAAGGGATCATGCTCAGCAAAATAAGCCAGAAAGAAAAAGAAAAATACCGGATGGTCTCACTCATAGCAGGAATTTAGAAAACCTAAATAGGGACCAGGAAAAAGAATAACTTTAAGAAAGAAAAAATCAAAATCAACAAATAACTATGAACAAGAGACACTCTATGGGGGTGGGGGCGGGGAAAGGAGGGCTTGGGGTAAAAATAAGGGGGTTGTAATTGTATGGGGAATATAAAAATAAAATTAAAAAAAAAAACACCATACATGCTTTAGGGGTACAGGTTCACACCTCTTCAGATGGCTGTCCCCACACCACACCCACCACCCAGGTTCCACCAGCCCCCCATACTCACATTTTAAAATGTGATTTAAAAACCTGAGAACATTTTTGATTAGCAAATACTTTCTACTGTATTATTCACAAGGTTGCATAAGTTCCTGAGTAGTTACAGCACTTATTAAATGCACTATCTGATCACTGGGGGTAAAAAGGACAAGAGGAGAGCTTATAAGGCCCATTCTCCAGGTCTAGATTCCAGGACATGCTCCTCCTCCCTCATGCCATTTTGTTTACTGCCCACCACCCACTTACCTTGGAAACACATCCCCAATCTCATCACAGCAACCACGCATAGCAAAACTCCTTTTCCTCCCCCAGGGGGTAAACTGGACAGCTGCCTGGGGGAGCCCTCGCCTCCCTCAAGCTTCCAGAACGAACTCTTTAATCCTCTGTGTGGTCCAGCATTTATCTGCGGTCCTCTGGGACAGTGACTGTTAACACCATGGCTGCCCATGTGGATCCTCTCCCTGTTACAGGGCAGGGAGAGGGGCATGCCAGACCCCCCCAAACCTGTCTGCTCTAAATAGGTTCCACCCACCATCTGCCGCATCAACACAAAACATATGAGACTTTAATGAAAAGGAACTTTAATACAATTAGGAAACAACACAGGAAAGGCAAAGAATATAGTTTCTAAATCAAGCACCCAAAGTTACTCATCCCCTCGTGGGGAAAAGTCCATCCATGCAGGATTGGCCCAGAGCAAGGCCCCAAAGCCTGCCACAAGTCTAAAGCATCTTCCAGTGGGGACCCACAGAAAAGGGTCAGAAACAACCAGACAAGTCTGGGAGGAAAAGAGCAAAATCAAACCAATATAAAAGCTGCCAATGTGAACCTCCCCACGGGTTTCACCCACATCTGTGTCACCCAGTCCACGACCAAAAGGCAAGTGCAGTTTCTTCATGTGTCTCTCTGCTCCATGTGCCTCCTCCAGGTCTCCTTCTGGCTCCATCCTGCTTCCTTCCTTCCTCAGTCACCTCTCAGCTTCTTCTCTTCTCTTTAGCTCCACCCTCCTTTGGGTGGGGCAGGGAACCTCGAACCTCCCCCTTTCCTGGAGACCACCCTGTTACATCCCCACCCCCACCCTTCTTCTCCACCCAGTTGTCACCCACTGTTTCTATAGCAGAGGCCCTTCGCTGCAGAGGGAGGAATCCTACACTCCTTGGCTCCAAGGAGTGTCATGGTGGTCCTGCTCTCCCAGCTTGTAAAGATTCACGAGCAAGCCTTCGTTTGCAGCTTCCAGGTCAAATCCAGAACCTTCCTGTTCTTCTCCCTGCCCTCCCCACACCTCACCCAGCTCTCTGTTCTACTTGAAAAGAAGGCTCCCTCCATACTTCTCACAACCTCCACCGCCACCCTGGCTCCCCCACCAAGGCCTCAGGCCTGATCTCCTGGCTATCCCCCTGTCTGCTGCAGCCAGAGGGAGTGTGTCTGAAAGGGTAATTCAGAGGCTTCACCTCTGTTCATAGCCTTCGATGGCTCCCAAAACATCTAGAATGAGATCCAAATTCTTCATGATGGCTCCAGCTGCTGCTCGGTCCACAATGACACCAAGTTCTAGACCCACTGTGGCGGGGACAGGAGCTCACATCCCTTCAGAACCTGAGCTCCGGCGGTGGCAGCCACAGTCTTCCAGGTCTTTGCGTGGTTTTGGATGCTCATTTTCCAGGGTTAGCTTAAGTGCTAATAATATCTCCCACTATTTGTGGGTCTTTCACTCCTACCCCTAGGAGCTTGTAGAAGGTAGGAGAGCTTGCAACATTACCAGAATTTATCCCCAGCGTTTGGCTAGTACTAGGTTAATATATTTGAAGAGGATTCTGCCAGGACAGCTAGATTGGAACGGTATATCAGATATCTGGGTTTAAGCTGGCCACAGGTTGTGTGATGCTTGTGAACTTGAAAACGCGGCTGCTTTCACGTGCTGCTTGGAAGAGGCCTGCGCGGTGGGCTGGTCCTGCCCGATGCCCAGCTAGAGACTGAGGCACCAGTTAGACGGCTGGAAGGGGAGGGAGAGACCCAGCCTCCGACTGCAATGATGGTCTGTCAAAGACCAAATGAACCTTGCAGGAATCTGAGCTCATGCGCCACCTGTCAGTAGAGGCGGCGCCCCACCCCCCATTGTGGCAGCCCCCGGCAGGGGCAGGGTGGAGAGTGGGGCCCGCAAGTCCCCTACACCAGCTCCTCAGGCTGCATGACAGCTGAGTGCACATACAACACGGGGCGCAGAGACCACACAGAGCTCAGAAATGTCTGCCATGGAGCTGGTGATCTGCCAGGTCCTAGGCCCATGTCATTCTGACATTCTTGGGCCTCTTTTTCGTCTGCAAAAAAAAAGGGGGTTGCATGGCTAGTTTTTAAGGAATCCTCCAGTTCTGCCATTCTAAGAACAGGGGATCAGATAGTTTTGAGGAGCTATTCTGCTTCGGACATCAGCACCTTGTGTATTCTATATAGAATGTTGCCTTGGCAGTGAGAGGGTTTGTTGCTGGCATCATGGGTTCCCCACCACAGAGCTGTCACCTGTTCTAACCACAAAGACAAATCAGCAGGCAGTCTAGCACTCTCTGTACCTCTCTGTTTTATATTCAGCAGCTTGCCAAGACCAAAAATACACATCATTCAATATTTACACCAGGGCTTTCATCACAGGCCATTCCACACTTAAATGCTGCACTAATTTTACAGGGAAACTGTGGTTGGCAGAAGATTAAATCCGATTAAAGCGAGACTATTTTAAATACCATCTCTCTATGTTTTTAATATCACCTTAAATATATTCCTGCTTGCCTGCTAAAAGCTGTGCGTTAATGATATCTGTCCTAATAATTTAGTGGCTGGAAAAAAGGTGCTCAAGTTTAATCCAGCTCCTCCACTTAAAATGCACTATCATTTATTGAGTGTCAACCACGTGCTAGGCAGAAAATTCCAACCCTCCCAGCAAGCTCTGCAGTGAAACCCCCACTTTATAGAGGGGTACCAAGGAGCTTCTATACTTTGCCCATGAGCTTCCTGAGAACTGTCTTGCTCTGTGACTGGGAAGGAAGAGGCTGTCTTCAGCTATTTGTGGAATGCAAGATTCTCTTCAAAATGACAGAAGTAATTTCTTATCTAAATCTCCGCCCCACCCCACCCGACCTCACCCCTACCAACAAAAATGTCTCAAGAGCTGCAAGGTCCCAATAAACCAACCACTGAGCAAAGACACAGAGATCCGCAGAGATTTGCCTTCTCCCAGGAGAAAACAACACACAGCGGGGACTCAAGAGATAGGGCAGCCCATGCCAGAAGAATTTCTACAAGTCAAACAAGTTAACTGAGTTCTTAGCCAATCATCAGCAACCCAGAAGAGGTTTTAAGTTTCATTATCAATTTTTTCCTCGGCACTGTAATTCTACACTTTCTCTTTCGAGACACCAACCAGGAAAGAACTGTTTAAAAGCCCCTGGGAAGCTGGCGTGCACCCCTCAACTCATGCCCTCTTCTGGCCAAAGCTCCCATCACACCACGTACCCTGAAACCTGGGCTCGGAGACCCCGGGAATAAGCAAACGGTTTCACTTTCAAGGTTGCAAACAAAACAGTTGCAAGGCTGGGCTCTCCAACGAGGAGGGGCCTGGTCTCCAGGACTCCCTCTCAGTGTTCTGCTGTTTTTGTTTAAAGTCTCCGAATCCCCACAGCATTGCGTCGCGAGGGAAAACTTCAGGACACAAAAAGGTCTACATTTTGGAAGAAAAAGAGCCGGAAGCTGGCAAGAAGACCCAGCACGCAGTTTTCCCACGTGGGCCGCGGGCGATGAGCAGCCAGAACGGAAGCGAGAGTCTGGCAGAGGCAGAAAACCCGAGAAGGTCCGGTCTCATCAGCTGCAGGGGCCAATCCCCGGGCACACCCACCCCAGCCCCACGCCATCTCCCCATAAAAAAGTGGAGCTCGGGAAGCCCTGGGGCGCGCGCAGCCCCCGCCCATCGCCCCTCACCAAATGGCTTCTGCGAGCCCAGCGTGGCGAGGGTGTCCCTGAGCTCCAAGGTGGGAGTGGGAGCTGGTGTGCAATTGCTCCCGCCTCCCGCGCCTGGGCTGGCTCGCTCGCGCCCGGGTACCCCAGACCCGCACCACCGCCGCAGGGGCGCGCACCAGCGCATGGCCCGGAGGCGCGGTCCCCCGGGGCGCGAACCAGAGCGCACCGGGCAGGGCTGACCGTGGCCACAGGGACGGCTGATCTCACCTTCACCGGGGTGGTGGCGGCACCTGAAGCCATGTCAGCGTGAGGAAGGCGCGGAGCCTCGCCAAGCGCGCGCAGGAGGCTGCGGTGGCTGGTGCGCTGGCGGGGAAGCGCGAGCAGGTTCCAGCCCGGCGCGGGACAGAGCAGAGCTGCAGCGTGGGGTGCCCTGGCTCCTCCTCTTCCTCCCCGGGGCAGCTGGATTGGCTGCTGGTGTGGGCTCCCCTCCCTCCACGCCCCTCCCCAAATCGAGATTCCCGCGTCCCGCCCCCTTCTGCGGACCTTTCCGGTTTTCCGTCCCCACCCAACCCCCAACCCCCTTTATAACTAACGGGTTGGTGATCGTGGTGGTGCAGAATGGAGGCTGTGCATTGAGCGCTTGGCTGTGCCAGACTTTAATCAGCTCCGTTAACTTTCACAAAAAATGCTCGCCCTGGACGAGCTGCGCCCTCGGCCCCCGTGGGAAATCTGACCAGGGCGCATTCCAGAAGCTCTCGCGGGAGGCTGGTCACCCGGAGGAAACCGGCTATTCTTGGAGATTCCCTCCAGCTGATAACACCGTTCGGGCGCGCTGTGCTCGCCCACTTCCCTGACCGAACCCGGCCTTTGTTCCTTTCTCTTGATTGCTGGAGGGCAGTGGAGGGGTGGGGTGGACCCCAAACTCAGGGTTGACAAAGACGAAATGAACAGTCACAGGCTGCTGGACAACCTTTCTGATTTGCAGGCTGTGGTTTACGCCTCTTCAATTTGAGGGGAGGGTTTTATGGGGAGGAGACACTGCCCCACTTCTAGCCTGGCTCTACCTGGCCAGGGCCTTCTTTAACCCTTTCCACCCTGGAGCAACGTCCAGTATCCCAGGATTCAAAATGCAGAACTCACATCTCCACCATTTAGCACCGGCTGGTTGCCCCTGACTCCACCCAACCAGCTCCCACAATCTCCCACCATGCACACCCCCACCCAATCTCCACTAGGATAATCCCTTATTCTTAAAATCCACCTCCTTTCTCTACTGGCATGATCCAATTTAACCTGCCTCGATGAATTAAGCTCTCCTGAACAAAATACTAGGTGGCAGTAGTGTTCCAAGACACTCTGGTCGTGGCAGGATGGCTGTGAAGGATAGACTTACCTTTTTCCCTATAGCACCGCGGAGCCAGACACAAGTACAATTCCTGTCAAATATCGCTGTCCCCGCGCTGCTTTTATCACCGATTTAAACTTTCACTCTTTATTTGCTCTCTTGGTCTAACTTTTACAATGTAGAGTTTTCTTCTATTTGTTTTAAGTCATGAAACCGTCTTTATTTTAAATCATAAAGTAAAATGGCAAAAGAGAAATGAAGTAGAAGACTGGTGTGCTCAGGTAATGGGGAGACATTTCTAGAGGTTTTCTTACAGCCTTTCTGCTAATTGCTTTGTGGGGGCAGAAGCCCCATTACTCTGGGGAGCCTGAGGTTTTATGGTTGCTACCCAATTATGGAATCTTGACCAACTTAGGAACTTTGAGGTGACCGAAGTTCAATTTCCACCTATTCCTGCCTGTCTTCCAGAAGATAGATCCCTAAACAAGTTATTTCTTGTAAGCATTAGCGCACCCCCTCTCACAACGCCTCACCTTCCCAAGTGAGGAGTTGGAAACTTGGGTCTATTTAATCGGCTCGTTCTAAATTTCTTCTACTTGTCTTATATTTATTAAGTGATTATTATTTAGACTAAAATTTTAAGAAAACAAGGAAAAAACCCTCCATTCCCCCATTAGCAGAGTGAAAAAGCATAGTAAATTGGCACAAGGAAAGAAAATGTTATTTAAATAATATAATTTATTCAAATCTTTACAATACATTTTACTGTGGCATACTTTGTAGAGAGAATTAGAAGTTACCTTTCTCTAAAAATATAGCAAGTTTTAGGTGGCAGTCCCTTGTAATAACCTTTCATGAAAATGTAGTGTCCAGTGATGACATAACACTTGGCATCTGTATTCTTTGTCAAGGGGAGAGTCACAAGTTTTGACATATGATAAGCAGGGGTGGTTTTGATGTGCTTCAAATAGTTGGAGATTCCCCCTGACTGTTTAATCCAATCATTGCAATCCAATCAAGTTCTACTGTTGTTTTCTCCCTCCTTATTTTAGTCTAAGTTCATATGACCCTAGAAATAGGAAGAGGAGGCTAGAAATATTTCCATTCAAAGTCATTTTGTCTTCAAAATTCACTTCAAATTGTATCTATCCTTTCATTTCTGGAGACCCTGTTGAAGATGACAAATTACATATGTGGATGTAGTGAAGAAACATCCAGTGTTCCACTGACCCTAGAATAAGCCTGAACATTAAGAATATATTCTCTTGGGCAAAACGCCTACTTATCCTGGAATCCTGGACCCTTCATCTCATATGAAGTAGAGTTATCATAGGATAAGTGAACTGCAAGATGAAAACCTGAATCCCACGCACCTCCCTGGTGAAGAAGGGACATTCATTTCTGCTCTATATAGAAAAGGACTGAGAAATTACAGATGCCGAGTTTTATTTTAATTTCACAGCATAATCAGCTCTTCTCAGCAGGAACTGAGCAGGGACTGAATGGCGACATGAGAAGAGAAATAAGTTTGTTGTTTAAACCACCCAGGCTGTGGATTTGGTTCCAGCTGAACTAAGACAATGAGTGGTCCATAAAAATGGCCCTTGTGTGGCTAATACTCTTCATTCTGCTTGTAGAACTTCAGGTGCACCTGTGGGCAGAGGAGAAGAAAAATGAAGATATAAGAAATAGCTCCAGAAAGATTGTTTATCCCCCTCCACCCCCCAATATATCCATTGCTATTTTGAAATAAAGTACTACAAATAAATGGGGTTATGTTAGTCCTCTGAGCGTCTTCAAGGGCAACAATAAAAAGAGATAATATTTATTAAAAAATGCAATCTTAATTTTATCCTCATTACTGAGGATTTGACCTGGATGCTGCTTTAATCCCCATTTTATAAATGAGGAGGCTGAGGGCCTCCTCTGGTGGCGCAGGTGGTTGAGCGCCACGCTGTGAAGCTGTCCGCAGCCTCTGCAGCACCGGTTTGATCCCGGCGGCCGGCAAGGGTCCCACATGGTGCGGCAGACCTCTCCTGCCACACTCGCTGCTCCCCTCAGCAGTGTACTTTGTCAGTCTGCCTGTTCTGATCTCCGCTCTGGCTCTGGTGAATTCTCTCACCCTCCTGCACTCTGACTGTACCCAGTGCTTGCATAAATAAATGAATAAATCTTTAAAAAAAAAAAAAAAGAGAAGTCAGATTTTGTATAAGTGTGCTAAGGGTGAGGTGGAGACTGTCACTGGATACATTTCCTGGTCTTCCTAGAGAAAGAATTATCTGAGTTCAGTGTTAAGGGATAAACCAAGAAATTAGGGAGATGGTGTGTGTGTGTGTGTGTGTGTGTGTGTGTGTGGTGCGTGTGTGTGTTTGTGAGAGAGAGAGAAAGAGAGAGAAAGGGATATGAAGGGAATTGAAGTTGTAGAGAGTTTAGATCATTAAATACCATATAGTTCATAAAAATTAGAAGTGTGATTGACTAGATTTTATTGTAAGGAAGTTGTTGGTGATCTTAACCCTTAGCATGACAAAAAGTTGTCATTGCAGAGCCAGAAACAACTATGAAGGAAATGCCAAAGCCAGTGAGACGATACTAAAATGACTTTAGAATTGCGACTGGTTGGAAACTTGGAAAGGAACCCATGATGGTGATGGTAGAGAATTCGGTCTACCTAAATCAGGCAATAAAAGGAAATAAAAAATTAGGTTAAGAACTTGGGAGGTGAAAATCACAAAATCACTATGAGGGACATGCATTTGGAAGTTCTTAGTTGTGCAGCAATTGTAGAAAAAGGACCTTGTAGGTTCACTTGCAGTATAGACAGAACCTCTCAGAAAGCAGGTGACGCTTGGCCTGTAACCTGGTCTCATATCTCACTTATATAACCACATCGAGGTTGTTACCAGCTGACCCAGGACGTCCAGCTCAGCCAAGTACGCCCTGTACTTGAATAAGTATGGGGTGACCTGGTTTGCCTGGGAAAATCCTGGTTTATCTCTTATATAAATCCAATAAGATACTTTAATTATTGTTAGTGTTTCCACTTTCCCTCTCCAAACTGTCCAAGTTTAGGAGGTATGACAACCATAGGGACATGTCTTGTAATCTTGGGAAAGTTTTGAATACAGAAATGAAGTCATACAGAGAGTATAAATACCTTCAAGTTAAGTGAAAACAAAGTCCTATATTTCTTATTTAAAATTTTTAGAAGTATATAAACAGACATAGAATTTCACAGGTTATCCTTTGTAATATCAATGTAACGTGCTATTATTTATAAGTCTGATTTTAAGCTAAAAGACAAAATAATTTGACTAAGTTTTTATACAGTATCAAACTGTATAAGATACTTGATTTGCTATATTTCTGAGTCATATCAACAGCTTCAAAATAAGTATAAAATTAATTCTGTTTCAGAAAATACTCAAGTTTTTTAAAAAAGATTTATTTTATTCACGCATATAAGAACTGGGGTACAGGTGAGATGCGCGGGAGGGAGGATAAGAGGAACAGAACAGGCAGACTGACTGAAATACACTGCTGAGGGGAGCAGCGGGAGAGACAGGAGAGGTCTGCCGTGCCATGTGACAATCCCCTGGCTGGCCGGGAATCGAACCAGTGCTGCAGAGGCTGAAGACAGCTTCACAGCACTGCGCTCAACCTGCTGCACCACCGGGGAGGCCCAAATAGAAGGTGTTTTGGTGAGTGTTGTCTGAATTCATACTGTTGTCTGAATACTGCATCTCCATGGGCCTGGGATAAAAGGAAAATGATGAATCAGTGTCTAATTGCTCAAGGGGTTGACAAATCAAAGCCACAGGATGCTACAAAGATACTCACAATAGTATTCATTTTATAGAGGTCATGGACATGAATCAAACCAGTAGCCAGGAACCAGGAGAAGGCTACCTGTCCTCATTCCTCTCATAGAAGGGAAGTAGGAGGATATCAGCTTCCCCAATGAGAGAGTTGGGGGTGTGGGGTGTCAGGTGGTTGGTCGATCAGGTTTCAGTAAAGGCAAAAATGTGGAAAAGACAATTCATAAGGAGGTTGAGGTCGCAG